AAAGGTCCACCTCCCAATAATGCCACATTTGGAACCAAGCCAGGCTATTAAGGATCATTGAACATGTAGTCTACAGCAGCTGGTAAGCAATATAGTGAGGATGTGGAGACAGGACATATAAGGTTACAGCCCATGGGCTTTATCAATAAATCACTCCATCTTCCAGGGAACTATAGCTTTCAGTAAATGGCCAATGGAAAGTTGTCTCCCTCCAACCACTCTGTTCAAGAGAGGTTATTTTTAAATTTTTTAATCTATTAGTGGTTCTCTCTCTCTGAAGATAAAATTAAATTCTTTAGCGTGATTTGTTTCTGGAGAACTTAGTTTACTCCTATGGATTTCTGCTTCTCTTTCTAAGTGCTCAATTCTTGTCTTTTACTAACCAGATCATATATAGTGCAGTGGTATCTCAAGCTAAACGAGATCACAGAACTCTAAGGAAGTAATTTTAGCAAATTGCTATAGCCCATTAAAAAGTAACATTATTATGGTGGTGGTATGTTTGCAGAGGAGATTGTTTCTGTCTTTTAGAGACATTTACTGAAGTATTTAATGAAGATATGCCATGTTTATAATTTGACATTTTTTCTAAGTCAGCAAAAAAAAACAAATAAAAGTAATGACACCATGCTAATTGTTAAATCTCAGCAATGAGTGTATGAATTTTATCTATAAGAGTGTGAAATTTTTTTCATAGTACAGAGTAAAACACATAGTCAAATACAAAAGTAAACAATGGAGCACTGGGCACCAGTGTCTCACACCTGTAATCGAAGCTATTCAGGAGGCTGGGTTTGGAGGATCACACTTCCAAGCTAGCCTGGGCAGGAAAATCTGTGAGTTGTTTATCTCCAATTAGCCACCAAAAAAAAAAAACAACAACAACAGAAGTGGAGCTGAGACTTGAGTGGTAGTCTTGAGCATAAAAGCTCAGGGACAACACTCAGGCCCTGAGTTCAAGCCCCAGTCCTGGCAGCAAAACAAAACAAAACAAAAAGTAAATAATAGATATAGGTTAGGTTAAATACAAAGGAATAATCACTGTTATACTTCCCTTCTCTTCTAATTAGAACAAAAACCAGAGAAGTTTACCAAATGAACTGTGTTGAATACTTTTCATCCACTAAGGGAGATACTTTTAATTGACAAGTCCTGTGCATCAGGGGTCATGTTCTCTAGTCTATGGATAAGGAGAATGAGACTCAAAGAAGGGAAATGCCTTATTCCAGAGAGCTTGATACAAAGCTGCCCAGGCTGTCAGGAGAGCCATGGGGAATGACTAAGATGAGAGAACTCAGGACAGGTAGGAGCTGGGTGAGGGCAACAGAGGGGCGATAGACTGAGTGAATGGGGAAAAGACAAGCACTTCAAGTTCTCAGGAGGACCAACTAGTTCATCAGAATGAATGGAAAGAAAACTATCTGGTGCATGCTTCTTTAGTATATCTAATTATGCATGAGAAGTCTGGACAATAGTGGATGTGACTATTGAAATTTCCAAAAAGCAAATCTGCAATTGGCATCTTTAGAAAGATGATGCAAGACACAATAATAAAGGACGGCATGCCACCTCTTTTGTTCTGTGCTAAGGCTGATCAAGAGAATGATTGAAAACAACTTTTCCCTAGTCTCTCCATTCTTTTCCAGTGAGTTTTCTTTAGCATTTCCAAAATGAATGCACTAATTTTTAGTAATTACTTCTTTTGAGTACAGGGCACCGACCTGAGTTTTCAAAGGCATATTCAGTTTTAGAAGAGGTTGTGTGTGTGTGTGTGTGTGTGTGTGTGTGTGTGTAAAAAGAAGAAAGAAAAATGTCCCACCTAAGAGAATTTTGTCAATTGGGTGCTCTGCTGGAATTCTAGAGAGATTATCACAGCTGGCAAGCTAGTGACCTGGAGGGTCCAAACAAATCATTTTGTATGAAATTGAAATCAGTTTATTTTACTTTATAGCTTTTCATCTAATTTTCAAATGTAAGTGGCTATTTTTAAATGAAGGAAAGGAAGTCTAAATAGCCCTACTCATCCAATGAAATATTGCCAAAAGGATAAAAGCAGGCAACTGTGAGCCACGTTAGGGGATCCTTTCCACAGCTCGCTTTCATGTCTCCTTTCTGTTCTCATTAAAGCAAGTCTCAGAGATCAAATGAACCAGGACCTGAGCTGAAGGCAAGGATTCAAGTTGTTTGCTTCACTTCTGCCAGCCTTCTGCTCTTCCCCCAAGCTGGGTGTAATCACCTGGGTCATGGATCACAAGAACAATAATTAGGTGCTCCCCTGCCCACGTTTCTATCTGGAGCCACAGGAAGTAACAGATACCTGTGTCGCTCATCTGACCACCTCCAGTTGGACACTTGCTTGAAAATCTCCTAGGGAGAAGGAGGAGAAAGACTACTGGCACCAATATCCATACCCATGTGATGTTAAGATCCTGACCTTTGGTGAGAAGGGACATACATCTTTAAGCCCAGTATACTGTTACCAAATCACCGCCCAGAAAGAGTAAGGTAGGAATTTGTTCCAAATCATACAAGTTATTCAGAACATGGATTTTAAGACAGATACCTTGGTTTAAATCCTGTTTTACCATTTATAAGTCAGGTGAACCTACATCAATTAAGTCTCCTTACCTTGACCCAATTTCCTCCTTCAAATAATGGAAGAACATCCATCTCAAAGGTTGTAGAAGGAAATGAAGTGAGTGCATGTCTAATACTAAGAACATATTGAACTCAGCATCCTCTGTCACACCATTATTATTACATTTGTAGAATGGTTCATGGTTCACACAAAATATATCCAACTGTGCCACATTTATTGAGCATCATACTCCATGATGGTGCCTGTATGCTGGACGTGCTAGGAGAAATTATTAGGGCACTAACCATCCCTTGGATCACGGGAGATTGTGAAGGATAAACTGATCCATAGAGTTGGAAGTGGCATCTGTTTTTTTTAATATATTTTATTGTTATTGTAGAGGTGATGTACAGAGGGGTTACAATTATGTAACTCAGATTGAAGTGATAGGTTAACCAACAAAGGTAATTAGAAGAAGAGCATCACTCAGCTTACAGTTTGGTAGGAAAGGGGGAAAAAATCATTTCTGGAGGGGAAAAAATGTTCATTATAGGGGGGAGAATCGGGTGAGGGGAGGGGGGGAGTATGGGAAGGGATGAGAAGGGGAAACAAAGAGGAGGCAACAATGCTTGATAAGAAATGAACTCGTTATCTTGCCCATGTAATTGTAACCCCTCTGTACGGTATTTTCGCAATAAAAAAATGTTCATTTGTTCATTCTACAAATGAGTGAAACATGACTCTGAAAAAATAAGGGTCTTGCCAAGATCCTTCAATCTGATAGCAACAGAGCCAGGCCTGAAAGTTCATACCCACTTGAGATAATGTAAATCATTCCTATGATGTAAATCATTGAGCCAATGAGCTAAGTTGTTTTTTTTCCTTTTTTTCCCCCTCACCACAGTCTTTCTTGTTTAAAAGGCTACAGAACAGTGTTATTATTTTCTGTATCTCCCCTTTTCTCCCTGAAAACTTGACCAAGCTCCTAATTCTCTAAAATCTACCATAGGCTAAGTGTCACAGAGCCTGTCTGGAAGGGCCAAGTGTCACTATTCTGGAGAGGCAGAAACTTAAGTACTGAATCCTCACTGAACCACTAACAAGCTCTAGGAACATAGGATCTTAAGTTTTTTTCTGTTTATTAAATTGAATAATAACAGTATCCATCTCCTAGAACTGCCATGATGATTTCATGCCAAGTCTTTAGCTTAGTGCCCAGAACACATTATAATTGCTCAATACACATTCATTGGTGACTTTGGCTAGCAAAATGTCCTGTGGTTCAACCCTTCACCCCTCTGGGCTCACAACAGAAGTTCTCTGTGCATCTTTTTTGAAAGCCTTTCCCAGAAGGAACTTCTTGTGAAACACTCTATGCTTGGCCCATCTTAACATCTCCAAATCCAACTCACCATCCACTTCAACTTTTCACATTCTGCTCTCAGAAAATAAAGACAGCTCCTATGTATATTTTTCTTTTCTGGAGAAATTAGTGAACACCTCATCTTTTTTCTCTCCTCTGAACTATCTAGCCCCAGGAACTTTACCTTTTTATCTTTAGAAATGTCTCCATTTTTTCCCCTCCAGTGATGAACAGAAGCACCTCATGTCCCAAGATGGTGATGATGATAATGTCAGTATAATATTATGAATGTTGTACTGTGTATGTTCAAAGCACATTCATATGCTTCCCTGCTTGATCCTAAAACAACTGGGCAAGGCAGGGAGGGCAGGTAACATCCCACATAAAGAATGTGAAACTGCAGAATACAGAACACAAGAACACTGCAAAACCCAAATCATGTCCCAGGTCTCCTATATGCATTACCTGGCTTCAACTTCTAGAATGTAACCTACTTTAGTAGCTATATAGGGAAAGAAAATAAGATGCTGAGAAGAATAGTATATGTTCAACTTCTTCCAGAAAGGATTGGGGGGAGCTGGGACTCAAGTCTATATTCCAAAGTCAATAAGCCCAATCACCAGTTTACCAAAGATTTGTTCCATATTTGTGACTAATATGACCTTAAACTCAGAAACTTTTGACTCATAATCCATCATACCTTTCCTTGAGTAATTTATTCAGTCTGTTTTCATTGTTCTGGCACTGAAGCTATGTTCACGATGACTAAGACCGTCACAATTCTCACACAACTGCTTTGTACTTGTTCCCTAGTCCCAACTGCCTGATTTTGCTACCTGATCCATACTTATAATTTTGGAGTTTTCAAACACAGAGCAAATGTGGAGAAAAGTTGGAGATACAAGTGTTGTCTGAGTATCCAATTCATGTGACCTAGGTTCATTGTCACATCTGAGTTGCTAGGTGGATTCTAATAATGGTCACCTTCCCTTGGAGAGAACTTGCATGGGATTACATTTGAGTTCTTCAATTCTTTCTCATTTTCTATTTGTTTTAAAGGAGATGATGGGGAGAAAGGAGATCCAGGAGAAGAGGGAAAGGATGGTAAAGTGGGACGCAAAGGGCCAAAAGGTAGGTAAAACTGACACTATAATATAGAAATGTTCTCTTTCCTGGCCCTGGTGTTGGAAATCAGCAGTTTAATAGTGCCCTGAGGACACCTTTAATTCATTCACCATCGCAGAAGTTCTGAGCTTTCCTGTCAATAAAAATAAGACCTATTCTGTAAATGGCATCATTAGGACTGCAAAGATTAGGGAATTCTATGAACCCACTGAAGTATTCTTTGGGAATATGTAAGAAATTATAAGTTTTAAGAAACATCTGTGGGTTGATGGCTTGGTCTCCTGTCAGAAGCTGCAACACAAGCTAGAATTTCTGGCTGGCCTAGAGTTTAAGGAGGGAGCTACAAATTGATCCGTTCATCTTTGCCCAAGATCTCTTTATTTAAGACCTCCTTCTTTATAGAACTAAATAGCATAATGGGGAGAAATGGAGGGTTATGGAGGAAGTAGAAGCAAAACATATCAAAAGACTATGAAAACTATTAAAGGATATATTTACTATAAAGCCAGCAGTAAGTCTCACTTGCACATTGCTCTGGGTTATGTTCTGAGCACTTGATTCTCTGCCAACCGCTACCCATATGGTTTGCCTGGACCACTTACGTTAAAATCTTGAACTATTTATTTTTATTACCTTGTAATGATTGTCCAAAAGGGTTTCATTGTGATATGTCCATATAGGCATACAATGTTCCTTACTCAAATTTTGCCCCCTCTAATATTTTTTCTTAATATCCTTCTCCCTCTCTTTTTAATCAAGCTATTTTAGTGGTTTTTATGCTGATAAAGTACTTCAGTCCTATTCCCCTCCCATCAGCCTCTCCTTTCTCCTTTCTCCTAGCCCCCTCCCATTGGTTTCTTGCTCCAAGAATCCCATTTTTGTGTTTATGTCATATTTTTTCAGCCTAGATTCTGCACATGGGAGAAACATGTGTGATGGTTGTCTTTCTGAATCTGTCTAAGTTTATCATGAACATTTCTGCTTCCATCCATTTTCCTGCAGAGAACACAATCTCATTGTTTGTATAGCTGAAGAATTCTTTAAAAGGATATAAAGACCTGCTGGCCCCCTAAAGTGTCATGTTGAGAAATACTGATTCAATTCAGTATATAAATGTCTGTGTCAAACTCAGAATTATTCTTATAAAACAAAGCTGGTACATATTGTAAGATTTTCATTAAAAAGGAAAACAAAATAAGTAGAAATTTTAGAAGAGCTTAGTGGTGCCAGGAAATACGTTTTGTATTAAAAACTCAACAATTTTATGCCCAATCTCTACACGATGAACAAATGGATCAAGAAAATGTGACATATATATGCACATGTATGTATGTATATAGAGAGATCCATGCATATGTATATACTTGCATATGATATATATATATATATCATATGTGTGTGGATATATGCATATGATGGAATTTTATTCATCCACCAGGAAAAATAATATGCCATTTGCAAGGAAATGGAGAGACCTAGAAAAATATTATGTTAAGTGAAGTAAGTTGATGTTCTCTGATCTCTCTGTTTACTAAGTGTCATGATTGTACACGTAAGGCTGTCAAAAGAGAAAACAAAGAATCACAGGGCAAAACCAAAATGAATCTAGAAATGAGTAGTTCCAGAACAGAGTAAAAAACATTTCCACTCATCCCCATTTCTGACCTTTAGATTAAGCATTCTCTGATGAGCATTCTCTGATATGGTCATTCTAGAAATACTGCATCAGTAAGCATTAAAGTATCATCATGTCTAGATTATCATCAGCCCTGACATTTTAATATATAAATTATAACTTTGAAAGTAGATAATATAACAGAGGGTTTATATATTGGCTATCACAAATGGAAAAATATGCTTTTTGCTGTTTCCTAAAATCTTATGATATAAAGATGTCACGCTTTGCTTTCTAGGACTCAAAGGAGAACTCGGAGATAGAGGTGATCAGGGCAGTATTGGCAAGTCTGGGCCGATGGGCCAGAAGGGTAAATTATCTTTACTATTTTCCAGTAGCAAATGAAACAAAATAGTGCATATCACATATTTTTAAGCCTTTTATGTCATGAAAACAATACTTTGTTCTTTTTTAAATAATATTTTATTATCATCTTTAAGTAGTTGTATAAAGGAGTTGCCATTTAACAGAGCACTTTATGAATACGTCTTGATCTACTCACCTCTTTCAACATTCTCATCGAATCCTCCCCTTTCCACCCCTTCTCTCACTCGTCTTAATTTTGTAGGATATACATTGAATTCTTGACTGCATTTCCCCCTCTTCTCTTTATTTATCTATCTCCTTTTACCTTGCCCACCCCTTTTGAGTATCTACTTCCTGGTATTTTATTTTGCTCAGCCTTGATTTGGTCTTCCTAAGGAATTACACAATTTGAGATTTCCCTTGACTCTACCATACCTTAGTCAATACATTTGTATACATGTTCATACAACTCAATGTATTTGTTTATGAGTTTGCAAGCTAAATCTAGCTTCCTCATACAAGGGAAAAACATGGATTCTCTGTCTCTTTGGGCCTGTGGTACTTCACTTAATATAATGTTTTCTAAGTCTTTCCAGTTCTTTACAAATGATACAATACTATTCTTTCTCATGGTTAGTAAACTTCCATTGTGTATATATACCGCATCTTGCTGATCTATTTATCCATTGAGGGGCATCTGAGCTGGTTTCATACCTTGGCTAAGGTGAACAGTGCTGCAATAAATGTGGCTGTGCTAGTGGCTTTGTAATCTATTGGATAAATGCCCAAGAGTTGAATGAATGGATCATAGGTAAGTAGTTCTATGTTAATTTCAGGGACAGTGCCTAGGCCCTGAGTTCAAGCCCCCGGACTGGCACATACATATAAAAAAAGAAGAGTTACAGAAGCCACTCATGGTCCACATATCCTGCTACAGACTATGTCCAGTGGTTTTATCATGAAGCTAGGAAAGCTAAGCCAAAGCTTATTCCTTCATCACATGGATTTTTATCACAACATAGGAGAACCCTTAGCAGTGGATTCACCTAGCCATATGTCTTGGTAAAATTTGTAAAGTAAAACATTTTATCCCCAACTAATTAAAAATAGTGACTTTCCACCTTTTTATGAATTCCCTTCTAAAATAGACTATCTAGATATATCTTTCCTAATTACTTCTCCCCATGATAATTTGTCATTATCTATATTTTTTTAATCACTTATGTATGTAGTTATAAAATATTTATGCTTAGCGGGGCGCTGGTGGCTCACGCCTGTAATCCTAGCTACTCAGGAGGCTGAGATCTGAGGATCGCGGTTCAAAACCAGCCCAGGCAGGAGAGACTGTGAGACTCCTATCTCCAATAAACCAGCAGAAAACCGGAAGTGGCGCTGTAGCTCAAGTGGTAGAGTGCTTGCCTTGAGCTGAAGAGCTGAGGGACAGCGCCCAGGCCCAGAGTTCAAGCCCCACGACCGACAAAAAAATAAATAAATAAATAAAATAAAATATTTATGCTTTACATACTTTTAAAAACACATACACACATAAAACCAACTACATTGCACCTTTGAGGTAATATTACCTACCACCAAGCATGAGTTAAGACTGCTATCTTCTTTTCCACCAGCTCCCTTCCATCAATCATCCTTCTAGTACTGAGTGGTTTGAAGCAGATGCAAATATTTATGAGTGTTTTAGGAGCTATCTCAGATGAGCTTATATGGTGAAATATTTTAGACTGAATGAGATATATTTATGTAGTGTGAGGTTACTTCCATGCACAGTTAAGTTATTGATAACAAGTCCAAAGTAATCATCTACAAGAATACTGCCACTTACTGTACAGATCGGTCTAAAGCCATGATACAAACATACTAAACCAGAGTTCTGGGACCTGCAGAACAAGAAATGCAGTTGTAAAAATAGAAGCCAATCTTGAAAATTGTAGGGCTTTCTTCTGAGATTTGACTGTATTCTTAATTTACACATCAATACTAAGCTTCAAAAGTGAGAATAATTGTGATGTTTAGTGATGGAGATGAAGTCCAGACTTCTGTTACAGTTTTTATAAGAAACTGGCCTACTTAGGTTAATCATTCTGATAACTAGGACTAGCTGCTCTCTCTCAAATCAAATCATATTTGAAGGAATAGGGGATGTTCCAAATTAATAGGACTTTAGGAGTCATGCTCTGGAACAGAAGGGGATCCCTCTAAACTAAGCTATGTGTTCTACACTCCATTTGCCACAAAATACACATACATTTATAAGTAGAGTAGTAATAAGAGGCTAAGAGACTCCAGTAGAGTTAATATTTGAGGCTTGCCAAGAGTAGTAGCCCAAGAATATGTCCTATATTTTTAATAAAAACTCCAGAAAATTTGAAAAGCTTTAATTAATAACATACCTTTTCATGTTGTTAAAGGTGTAGCAAAAGCTGGGCACTGGTGACTCCCACCTTTAATCCTAGCTACTCAGGAGGCTGAGATCTGAGGATTGCAATTCAACTGGGGCAGGGAAGTGAGACTCTTTTTTTTTAATTTCTATATATTTATTTATTTTTATTGTGAAAATACTGTACAGAGGGGTTACAATTACATGGGCAAGGTAATGAGTACATTTCTTAACAAGCATTGTAGCCTCCTCCTTTGTTTCCCCTTCCCATCCCTTCACATCTCCCCCTCCCCTTCGTGCCAAAGTTGTAAAGTTCGTTTTTCGACATAACGACTTGTACATCTCCATTTAACCACCAGAAAACTAGAAGCAGAACTGTTGCTGTGGTAGAGTGCTAGCCTTGAGCAAAAAGAGATCAGGGACAGCACCCAGGTCCTGAGTTTAAGCCCCATGACTGAAAAAAAGAAATGCAGCAAAATAGAAATAACAGAAGTAGAAGAAAATATGCTTAATCATAAAAAGGAATATCAGAAACAACAAAAATCTATTTAAAATTAATCAGTAGTGAAATACTAAGTGGGAATGAAGTTAGCACAGCCTTCTATCACAAATTCTTTTTTTCCTTACTATATATATTTTTTATTGTAAAGATACTGTACAGAGGGGTTACAGTTACATGAGCAAGGTAATGAGTCCATTTACTATCTAGCATTGTTACACCCGCATTTATTTTTCCCTTACCATCCCTTTCCTCAATACCTCCCCAATTCCTCCTTCCCCACTCCCAACCCTCCCCCCGCCCCCCGCAAAGTTGTAAACTTCTTTTTCAACATACTGTCTTGTACATCTCATTGTTACAATGTGTCATCCTGTATCCTTTTTTCAGCATTTTGTTATTTCTCACTTTTAGGCATTTACCCAAACGATCACAAACAAGATCATACCAAAGCTACCAGCACAACTATGTTTATCACAGCATTATTCACCATAGCTAAGATATGGAACCAACCCAGATGCCCCTCAGTAGATGAATAGATCAAGAAAATGTGGTGCATATATACATATACACACACACACACACACACACACACACACACACACACACATATATATATAAAATGGAATTCTGTGCATCCATCAGAAAGGATGACACTGTCCCATGGAAAAACTTGGAAAAAATTATCTTAAGTGAAGTAAGGCAGACTTAAAGAAACATAGATCCCATGGTTTCACTTATCTGCAATAACTAGTATATGTCTAGGACAAGCAGAAGAGGTCAAAAGCTATGTACATATGACCATATAAGATGATGTTAAACAAGATGAACCCCCAGATAGGAACATAAGAGGTTTTATTTTTGTTGCTGTTCTTTTTAATGTACTTATAATGTACTATGTAATTTTTTTTTGTTTCTTTGTACTTCCCCCATGGCAGAACCCCTGTTGTCACTGTATTTGATTCCAGTGTCCTGCATCTTGTATATACAGTTTTCTAGCACAAATTCTAATCAACATTTGGCAATGAGATTCTAGACAGAGCAAAAAATACGAGAAAAAGTAATACATTTATTCAATAGTTGAAAAACAGAAGATAACTTATTACATGCCTAGAAAATTCAAAATAATCCACAGGTAAACTATTTGTAATAGAGAAGTTTGTTAGACAACCACACAAGAACATCTATTTTTGTTTCTATGTAGAAATAATTCAAGCAACAAATTAAAACAAAACATTTTTCATATTGTCAAATTATCAAACCTACTAACTTGCATAATGCCTCCACAATAGGCCCAAGAAAATGATAACAAAATAAAGTATTTCTAAGAAAAGGGAGGTAAATCTATGTTATGGGCTATAAGATTGAATAATATTAATGTACTTAGGCATCTCAAATTGATCGATAGATTCAATATCATTTCAATCAAAATCCCAGAAATATTATTTTGGAAATTGATAAGCCAATTCAAAATTTATGTGTAAACGAAAGAGATTAAGAATACCCAAGATAGACTTGAAAAGTGAAAACAAAGGTGGAAGACATAAATTACTGAAGTTGAACATTTATTATGAAAGCAAACCATTAAGATAATGCTGTGATAGACAAATAAGGCAAAAGAAATTGATAGAAGCAGAAACACTGCCAAACTTGACTTATACAGGTTGAGTTTGTTCTGCAATGGGGAATGATAAACCTAGTGTGAAGGTCCTGTGTTATCAGTATCTTCATAGGAATTTGACCACTTAGGTAGCACTCTAAAAGCCAGTGGCTGTACATATAAACCTTTGTAGACATGAAATTGAAAGATAAACCAATAATGCTTCTAGAAGTTAATTACACAGTGGGAGAGTGGAAGGGGTGTGGATGTGGTTGTGCATGCTGAACCTGGGGCTTGAATTCAGGGCCCGGGCTCTATCCCTGAGCATTTGTTCCTAAGGCTAATGCTTTACCATTTGAGCCACAGTACCACGTCCAGCTTTTTCTGAGTAATTTATTGGAGATGGGAGTTTCAAGGACTTTTCTGCCTGGGATGGTTTCCAACCTCAGTCCTCAGATCTCAGCCTCCTGAGTAATTAGAATTGTGAATGTGAGCCACCAGCATCCAATTTTA